GTGTAGGGAGTAAGACGGTACTCTGTCTGTTCAAGGAAGTATTTAAGTACGTGATTCAATGAGGTCACCTTCACCTACAGAGAAGCAAACAGAGGCCAGATTTATGATACTGTTTTAAGTTCTCCAGAGCCAAGTCAGATAAAAGGCAAGAATACATTTCAAAGAAGCAAAACATTTCCCTTGTGTATTAATCTTTAAGATGAATTTAATTATAATCACAGGGTTGACAAACCTGCTGTCACGCTTCCACTTAAAGCCTTATGATTATTTCAGTTTGCATAAGTATAGGTTTTCTGTACCATGGACATGAAACAATGCTCCCTGTGTAATATTGGTGATCCAGGTGTTCATAGTGCAACACAAGACATATTGCAGTGAATCAATGGAGAGAGGAAAAAAAAATGTATAAACAGCCGCCCAAGTAGCACATATTTACATCATAAGCAGGTTAGAACATTTTTTAAGTAGAATATTTAATTTTCATCATGTTACTTTCTTTACAGTATATTATATAGGAAACTGGACAACACCAAATCAAGAATCTACTTGCTCCTCACTTAGACTTGGAGGACACAAATAATTTGTATTCCAGGTGGTAATTTTTGACGCAGTAGGCCAATACATAGATGCAGTGCACTTTGAAAGCTAATGTAACTCTTAGATGACTTAAATCTCAGATTTTCTTTCACTGAATGGCACAGTTGATTAATATTCTGGTTCATTAAATGTTGGGGTAAGAGCCGTGGGACTTACCGGCTTCTCCAGTTCAATGACAAACCCCGAGTTAGTGGAGGTCACTCTGTAGTTCTTCATGACAGGCCCACTGAAACAACAGGGAAAGGAGGATTACTGGCTAACTGGGCCTTTGATGAACCAAAAGACTGATTTTTTTGTGTGCATTTCATATGAAATGTAAACATATTGCAAAAAAAAAAGAAAAATCTGACTATCCATATCCCTTTGTCAACTGTATCATCTTATGGTTACTGATTGTCATGACAGTTGCATTATTAAATTTAATGACTGGATAGAGGAGAACTACTCAACAATAAGTCATAAATTAATGTTCATATGTGGTGACTTCAACATTGACTTGTTAAACCCTAACAAGCACACAGGAACGGAGGAGTTTAACACTTTACACAGATGCAGTTTATACCCAAAAATCACAAAACCAAGTAGATTAACAACACAGCATGCGACACTAATAGATAATATATTCACCAGTGATATTGAAAGCACAATGACAAGTGGATTACTTATAAATGATATTACTGATCATCTGTCTGTATTTCTGGTTTATGACTGCCATATTAGAAAAGAAAGGCAAACAGCAAAACTGTACTACAGGAGGGTGATTAATGAACAAACAGTACGGAGGCTTAAGGAGGAATTAAGGGGGCAGGATTGGGAATCAGTTTACAGAGAGGAAGATTTAGATAAAGCATATGAAAAGTTTTTAAATATATTTCAGGAAGTATTGTATATGACAGGAACTGCCCATGTAAGCAATATAAAAACAAAAGGAATTACAGTGAGAAACCATGGATAAGTAAGGGATTACAGAATGCATGTAAAAAGAAGAATGCACTATACAAGGACTTCATAAAAGACAGATCAAAAAAGATGGAAGCAAAATATAAGGCGTACAAGAACAAATTAATTGAGATCCTGAGGAGATGTAAGAAACAATATTATTCTAAAGTACTGGAGGATAATAAAAATAACATGAGAGGTACTTGGAATATATTAAATAAATTGATTAGAAATAGTCCCAGCAAGAGTAACTACCCCCAATACTTTATGGATAATGATACACCGGTCAACAGAATGGAGGATGCAGTTGATAAGTTTAACAGATTTTTTGTGAATGTTGGCCCTAGTTTAGGAAGA